TGGAAGGTTTCGGGCAGGTTTGTTCAACTGTTTGCTTTCGTGGTTCGCATTCATAATGAACTGAATATACTCGTACATTGTTTTGTCAGTAATTATGCATATATTTGCCGAATTCTCTGTACTGTTCATAACCACATTAAATATAGGTATTTCTCTATATAAAGTATATTATTTTCATTTCCAATTTGATTCCAAGCGTAACTGCGGATACTAATTCTCCTGTCAAACGTAGCAACTACTGGTAAAACCCCCCGAGGGGGATATATTCAACATTGGCAAGTAATGGCTGATATAATGATGAAGAGAACTTTCATTTCATTATCTTTTTTTATTGCATAATTAACTAGCTAACTTTTTATTACAGTTTCGACCATGCGAAGTTGTTATTTCACGTTTTCGCGAGACTTTTATGCAACCTTTTTTTATTGAATAAACGTTTTTAAAGTTACCTTTATTTGATTTAAATTGGATTTGTTTTTAAATTTCCAATATTGATTATGCTTCGAGTTTATAGATCAGACAGATAGTCAGAATAAATGTTTTTCTTATAACTTAATATGATTTTATGCGACTAATGTAATTTTATGGAGGATAAATAAAGAGTATCTATCTAAATAAAATTTTAAATAAAAAGACTTTGGAAAAATTACATTAATTGTAAATTTCATATTAACCTTAATATAATCTATTCTTTATAATAAAAAAAATCTATTTTGCTTTTAATTATCGTTTAAAATTATATATAAAGTATGAAATAACAGAGAAAATAAAACGTGCGGTCCGCGATTGAGCACATCTGTTCCAGAGATAAAAGATAATGTACACAGCGTAATGAGGGTAGTTGGTAAAAAATGACAGGTTTTATCCACTAATGGACTATACGCATTATCTTTATTTAGATTGAGGTGTGTCCATTTGTTGAACTAGTCTGTACGTGCATGGTTTTGGACAAGCTTTATCTTAATCCCGCCGTTTGCTGGTCAGTGTCGAATTATAAACAGTTCTTGTCATCTGTCATATGTCATCAGATATTTACTGTCCACTGCCTGTCCATAGGCATCCCCATAAGGGGGGCTTTGGCATAGTTGCCATGCTTGGCAGGCGGTTTGATAATCGCAGTTAGTCTTGAATGATATTTTAAGAGGGACACGGATGTCTATCCCTTGGTTACTAAGTTCCCTTAGTTGCCTCTAATGATACCCACGGCATATATTATCTGTGGTCACGGGAAGAGAAGGGTTGGTCTATTCTATACCGAGACTACACGGAAATGTATAGTAATTTTTTTTATACAACTTAGTATTAACTTAACTTGTATGGGAGCAAATTGAAAGTAAAAAAAAAAATCAAATTGGTTTATAAATGACAGAGTTATGATATAACAAAGGTTTTTTTTTCATTTCAGTTGTACGTGCAATTAGTCAAGGACTGTGTTAATTAATTAACATTGCTCAGCAGCCAGATATTGATATATTTAATGACAAAATAAATCTATGTTTAAAATGTTGTTTAAATTTTTTAAGTTTGTAAAATAAACCTATACGTTTTGGGATACTGTAAGTGTGGTGAGTAATTTATAAATAAAGTAAATAAAAAAAAATATTATTCATCTTTATTTAATACAATAACAAGAAAGTGTGTTTCCAGCGAGAGCATATATTTTTACAGAACTTTTATTTGCCTCTATCTTTTAATTAAGAGGTAACAAACATAAAAACCAATTGAATTTTTTCCATCTTTATAAAAGTCATTTGAAAAAGAAACAGAGTCATGGCAATATACTCCTTAGGAATGACAACGCATGAGAGGTAGTGTAGGCAACAATATTGATAATAAAAGAAGATATATAGACCATAAGTGCACCGTCAATGAAATGTATATAAGACTTCAGATGAGTTATGTATTATATTAATAGTCTGGCCATAAATACTTTTACATAAAAACTTTTCTTTTTTTTCAACAAAAGACAGCTCTGAAGTTTCTTATAATCTTCCAGCGTCCTCATTGGTTGTTATAACTCGGAGGTAAAGACGATGACGCTGATTGGATAGGATAGGATCAAGGGAAATGAATTTAGCACTAGGTACCGATTATTATTAATATTATTTAACTAGCATATACATCATTATTAATAAGAAAAAAAATATAATAATATTATTTAAAAATATATAAAATTAAAGAAATGCGCGAACAATTATAAATGCGAAAGTTTGTGAGGATGGATAGATTGATGGATGTTTGTTACTCCTTCATGCAAAAGCTACTTAATAGATTTGTTTAAAATTTGGTCCACGGGTAGGTTATATGCTAACATAATGTATAGGATACTTTATGTGAATCGCCTTATTTACAAGGGTAAAGCCACGGGATACAACTTGTAGATTATACATTGAAAAAATTTTTTTTGTGCAGGTATTCTTAATGATTATTAATTATGTTTCTTAATCAGGCTCGCAGACATTATTCTTAATCTATCTTTTTTCAGATCTCACGTAGGTTTACAAATTATAAAACTTATTTCTTTCTTATACGCGTTTGTTATTTTAGCTTTGAAGGTAATCTATCTAATTCGACCTTTTTCAACCCGTTCAGACGGCCCTAAAGGATGAGGGATATCTTAGTGAACTCTCCCAGTGAATAAAGTTCTTAATACACACTAACTTTTTATTATATTTCGTGACTCCTATTTTTTAGGTAGTAAGGGTTAGAATGTAGTAATTCGGTGTATCCCTGTTGAACCCTCAGGGTATTGGAGAAGTCCCGAAGTTCTCTCGCGTGGAAATCTGCGGAAAATTGGCCCCAGCGAAGTTTAACTTTTGCAGCGAGTGACGCATACGAATCAAGCTGGAAATATTGGACAGAGCTCTAGTTGCTGTACGTAGTTTCTCATAAAAGGACACGCGTTCAACTTTCCACAGTTTTTCAAAATGAAAATTGTTATGTTTATGAACTTTTACCCGTGACCGGGATATGTTGGATGACCGGGATAAAATTATTTAATAAATGCACAAGAAAGCTTTTCAAAAAGACTGCATGCATCATGATAAGCAAATAATTAATCAGATTGACATAAATATTATCACTAACTCAATAACTAGATTGACTTCAAATTATTTTTATATGATATTTTAAATTGTTGTTTATTTATTTAATGTAAATCGAAATTATTGCATGACAAATGTATTTAAAAACAAACAATTATACGTAAATAAATTAAATATAATCTGAAATCTAAATTGACATAAATGCATATATATTAGCTACCTATCAATATAATTTGCTACACCCAAACAGAGTTTCATGTACTTTTTATAAGAACATTGTAAAAACTCTATATTATGTACATGAATGTATTATTATTATAATAATAAATAAATAAGTTGTAATGCCAAATACAAGTGCAGTTTCCGTATGATGTACTATTTGCTTACATAGTGAAAATTAGAAGACAGTGTATACTATTATTGTTTTGTTTTTATCGAAATGCAATAAGAAATACGGGGTAACGTCTGAGATCATTACGAGAGATGAATGTAGAATAATAAGCTGACCAGAATAACTTGAATTCACCAACTCACACATTTCGCTGCTCGTCGTTTTATTTAGTTGCTGTTCTGTGTATGAGGGTAGATCAAATTAGACTGGACGACTTTTACGCTGTCTTGACTGCGTCTGAAGAACTCGACGCGTTTTAATTTCGTTTGACTAGCGTAAACAGGGGATGCTGAGGGTTTATTGTTTTAAAGTTTATGCTAAAATGTAGCGGATTAAAAGTTGTGTATAGAATTATTTATGTTTTTTTTTTATTTTCTCGTGTGGTCCCGGTATATATTGGATCAAATCTTCCTTACGAGTGTCGTAAGAGGTGACTAAGGGAATTTAATTATCAAGAGATTGGCAGCACCGTCCCTTTTAAACCATTACCAAAAGCATAACTGTGGTTGCTAACCCGCCTGCCAAGTGTGGCAACTACTGGCAAAGTCTCTATTATAGGGAAGGCATATTTTCAAAAGTAGGCAGTTAACGGCTGATATGATGATGATGATAGTATTGAATTAAGTAGTCGCGGAAAAGTGTTAATTTAATATCAGCGATTTGCCTACATATATCTATACTTATAATAAATCTGTAGAAAGGTCAATTCTGTACATGAAATATATTTCCAAAATAACTATCAGGGGGTGATTAGTGATCGATACTGATGCTAAAAATGCAATTAGTAAATTTTTGTTTGTCTCTCTGTCTGTTTGTATGTCTGTATGTTCGTTATAGAAACAACAACTACTAGACTGTCTGCTAGATGGACTGTCATATCTGTCTGTTTACTGTATATCTATCTTTTTTTTTATTGTACGGATAATCTGGTAGTATTGTTTTGTTGTTACCCTATTCTCTTTGGCCGCAACAGAATATCAGTGCTTTACTCTTTTGAGGGCGAAGCAATAAACTGAGTTGTGGCCATTTTGTATTGCTATGGCACACTCACAAACGAAAATTGTATTTAGCTTTGTGTATTATTTTTAGCATTTATGTTATCTCGCTTTTTTTGTATATGTATGTTGTAATTTGTGTGCTGTAAGTAATGCAAATAAATTATCTAGCTATCTAGACGGATTTTAACGAAACTTGGTACAATTATTCTTCATACTCCTGGGCAGGTTATAGTATACTTTTTATCACGCTACGATCAATAGGAGTAGAGCAGTAAAGGGAAATGTTAAAAATGTCCACCCGTGCGATGCCGGGACGGGCCGCTAGTCAGTATATAAAGTGTTAGGGTTTAATTTTACTTGTATACCAAATTTCATTTAAATTCGTTTAGTCGCTTAAGCGTGTTTCAGTAATGACGTAAACATTTACACCACCAAACTTCTTTTCAGTCCTATTTGCAACACAACCGTGACCCGCGCTCATGAATAAGAGCGCCTAATGAGTTCAAAACTAGTCGGGTTACCCCGAATTTAAAACATAAGTTTTTTTTTTATACAACTTAGAATGGCAAACAAGTTGACGGCCCACCTGATGGAAAGTGGTAACCGTTGCCTATAAACATGAGTAGTACCATGGACATAACAGAGTATACTGTTTCGCCCATGACACCCCCCATGCGTTGCCATTCCTGAGGACTTAGATGTTATTCCTCTGTACCCTGTTAATTCACGCCATATCCCACCCTTCAAATCGAAACACAGCTATGCAAACACAACTGCTTCACGGTAGAAAGCCGACGTAAATAATTACAATTATTGAGTGAATGAAAATTAGTATAATTAATTTGTGAATACTGTGAGTAATTAATTAATTAGTGACTCGTCACATGTATGAGGAAAGAAATGTTGTTGTCTCGTTCTACCCCACGTCTTTACATGGGATAGAACTCAGTGGGAAGATTAATACTTTTATTGACATTAATAAAAATTAAAAAATCGATTGGTGGTTAAAACGCAGGGACCGTATCTGAAAAAGAAAAATTATAATATATTTTTTTTGATGGGTGAAAATGTAATGGTAACTCTGCCAGCGCTAACGGGATACGCTGGCGGAGCACCAGTGAAGGGTGATAGATGAGAATGAAAACAGGTCAGTTAGCCTATCATGATGAATCCATCTGGAATTAACCATGATAGTTTCCAGGGAGAACCGCGAGGAGGTCGACCTGGTTGGGTATATTGCTAGCAATGGGATTCTCAGTCTCCATCACTAACAATCTCTTTCCCCCTAATTATAATATATTAGGTTATATTTGATTTTTTTTTTATTTTATTTTATACAAAAATCCACAGCTCTTAAAAAATAACTTACATGCTAAGTCTCTTATGAATACAGCCAATAACGGATTTTACTTATATAAACAAAAATTTTGATTCCATAGCAAGGTAGGCAAGTTAGAGATGGGTATATGCGAGTAATATAAGCACATGTATGAAAGGAACCATATATAATAGTGAGTGTCCATAAAGTTAATTGATATATAAAATAATTAAAATTCATGTTGTTAAAGTTCAGATATTGACAACAATGATTAAATAATACAAAATCATGGTCACAAATTGTAAAGAGGGTTAAATGTATGCGTGGGTGTATGTGTAGTGTGATATAAATAAATGTAAATATGTAGTGTATATACGTGCATGTACATATATGCAACATAGGTAATTATGATATTATTTCATCCATTATCACAGCCCTGAATTTATATCTACTGAGGTGGAATAAATCCACTGTTGAAAAAAGTTTTATGACACTAGTACTTAAAATTACAAACAAGCTTACGGCCCTGGTAATGGAAAGTGGTAATCGTAGTCTACAGACATGAACTGCTGTTCATTATGCTTCATATAATATATGCATACTACCTGTCATTCGTTGGTATTTTTGAGGACCATAGGAGACATACTACTATCGTATTATGCCTCTATACCCTTAATTTCTACTTTTGGGGGAAAGGAGTTGTTAGCAATGAAGTTTGACAGTCCCATTGCTAGCAGTATGCCCTATCAGGTTGACCTCCACTTGGTTCCCCCTGGAAACCATCGTGAACAATTCTTGTTGAATTCGTCACGATGGGCTGACTGATCTACTTCATCCTCACCTATCATCCTTCATTGGTATCCCGCCGATGTATACCGATAGCACGGGTGGGGTTACCATTCCATTATCACCCATTATAAAAAACCCCTTAATTTCATGGATGAAGGCTTAGATTATGAAGATAGAGCATCGAGCCTCATAAACGAGTCAACTTTTTGTCAGCTAATTGTCAAATTAGTTGATATAGATAACAGTTGATACAACAACCTTTTGAAAGAAGTGAAATTAATTTCACTACATTTTTAACGGCTACATAGTTTTGCGTAAATGAAGCGCTGGGTTCGATTCCCTATAAGTCCAATTTAGGAAATGAACATTTTCTGATCTGTCTCGAGTCTGAGTATCAGGATTGTGTCCCTAATTGTTTGTTGTCTTTTTTCTCATAATAGAAGATGTATTGAGGATCAGTGTATGGGAGATATTTAATAAAAAAATATATGAGGGATTCGAATATTTGACAGAAATTTTGTCTGTTTATTTCAGCATCATGCAAAAAACTACTGCACCAAATTGGATACAGTTTCCATAGTTATGTATCTAATGGTCTAAACATAAAATCTGGTATATGTTTTATAAGGTATGCCACATAGAAATAGTCTATTTATTTGGTTTTCCTACATCATATGTGAAGTAAGTTTTAGGGAATCAGTTATTTTGAGATCAAATTGAACGGTGCATTTACCTCAAAATTTTAGCTTGCTCCTTCTCAGGCCGTTTCTTGTTTATACAATTAAATTTGCATTCATTAACATATGTTTTATTATCTGAGGCGCATAGTGGAACATAGACTCTTAAGCAGCTGTAACAATCTCTCTCAGTCAGGTATGGTAAGTCATCAACTAGAAGCGTCTTATTCATTATAAAGGTACCGTTATTCACAATTAACCTTCCATATATACATTCTAATATAAATAATGTTGTTACTGAAAAAGAAATTGCTTAAATACAAAAATTATTTATCCATTTCTCTTGCTTTCGTCGGTGTCGTAAGAGGCGACTAAAGGAATTTTATGGTCTAGAGATTGGCAGCAGAGTACTTCTTAAAATATCACCAATCATAAATGCCAACTGCAGTTACCAACCCGCCTGCCAAGCATGGTAACTACTGGCAAAACACCCCAAGGGGATGCTTATGTTGGCAGTGGACATTTAACGGCGATTATGGTATCGTATGATATTGTTTTGTGCCATTACTAGCAATATACCTTGTACAGGGATCTTTCTGGAAATTCTAGTGGTTCATTCTAGTTTAATTCATCATGACAGGTTGAGTGCGCTGCTTTTATCTAAACCTATCATGTCTCACTTATACCCCGTCAGCATATATCGATAGCGCAAGTCGAGTTATCATTCCATTTTCATCTATTTAACAAAATTAAGTCACTTTGTTCCTTCTGTTTAAACTCTTTTAATTAATATATATTCTTAATTATTGTACTTACTTATAACGAACATATTTACAAAATAACTAGTATACTGAAACCAATACGAATAGTAAACAATAACTAAGGTAAACCAATCAGTAGACATTTATTAGCGTAATAACTTGTTTAATTATTACAGCGTTTTGATGGTATATTGCAATTTTATTACCTAAGTACATTTACTAGCGCGACTTCTACCACGTAAATAAATATATAACGGAACATTTATTAATTGAGTCCTTTTTTACATAAGGAGCTTCTTTTTCTTCTTCTTCTTCGTCTTCTCCTTTTGAAATGTACCAAAATTAAAACCAAAACGTACCAAAATGTGGAGATTCTTTAATCACTTGTATTTTTTTCAGGTTTACTTCCTGGTTGGTTTCATATTCATTTTGTCACGATTGAATGCATTGTTGATTTGGAAAAATGAAATTCTGTGACGTAATATTACATTATTAATCGACATTATCGGTAATATGCCTTCAAAAACATTTTAAAAATGATATTTCAAAATCCAAGTTTCGAATAAAAATATGAATGCAATAAATGTAATGTTGGCTAACATCTGAACATATTATCAGAAGGTATAGCTCTATTAAATATCTGCTTCAATGCGAGGTAGTGCCAGGCTCGATTCAGGCATGGTGCAAGTCATAAAATTCAGGTATATATATTTATAAAAAAATCTCACCAATCGCCTGATCCTGAAGCTAAGCTAGTATGCTCTTGCCGCCTTTTACGACACCCATGAAAAAGAAAAGAGTAGATTATTCCTGAAGAGTGGCAACGCATGAAAGGTATCACGAGTGATACAGTACAAGTATATACTGTTATGTCTATGGTGCTGTTCATGTATATAGATGATGGTTACCATTTTCCATCAGGTGGGCTTTTAGTTCATTTGCCATTTTAAATTAGATAAAAAATTAAGAATAAATGAAAATGGATAGCTTCACATCATAAGGAAAATAATTTTTGGTCTTTCTGGAAAAATACAAATAAGTTCAATACAAAACTACCTATTCCTGTATGCGTCGACGGCGTTAGTGATGCTAGAGAAATAGCTAATCTTTTTAGGGATAACTTTATTGTAAAATCTCTATTAGGGTTGTCGCGTTCGATGCTCAATATTGAGATTGCAAAATAGTTGGATATGAAATTCGCGACTAAAAAAGTAGAGAAGATTACTTAGTATAACGCAACGGCTTTTTAGTTGAATCTTTTGTGACTTGCGGTAAACTTATTTCTGAGCATCGCGTGCTTTACACGATTGCATTATTTACTGACCTACGATTTATGATCCTGTGGGATATAGAAATAGAGTTCTGAAATTATGTTGAATAATAAATGTAGGTCTGTATTTTAGAAAGTATATAAATTTATTTACAAATAAAAAATGGGCTCAAATTTCTTTTAATAGTACTGATTTTTTACATTGCTTTAAAAATATATACATATTTTTTTAATTTATCCGTGTTTATATTTTTTTTTGAATTTTATTACGTGTTATTCTTTGTAAATTTTTATTAGTATTATAAATGTGAAAGTAAGTTTGTTTGTTTGTTTCATCTTAGCGTCTTAACTGCATAATCAATCTCTGAAATTAATATTGATATATGCTAGGAGGGTATCAACAAGCAATGATAATATGAAGTCAGATCAGTTGGTCCATCTGGATGGTATCACCAGGATTTCACCACGATAGTTTCCAGAGCCGTATGATCTCGGCATAGAATGGACTACCCCATTCTTCCCCATGGGCCTCGTAATAAGCGGTTAAGGGAAGTTAATAGTTGGGGGATGGGCAGTAGCATCCCTCTTTAAACATCACCAAAACCTAACTGCGGTTGTCAACTCGCCTTCCAAGCGTGGCATACACTGGCAAACTTTCCAATAGGGACAGGTTTAGCAGTGGACAATTAACAGGTGATATGATAGTTTCCAGGGGCCCTCCGTAGTATATCACATAAAGACAGTAATGGGGTCACTCGTCCCCATTATCAACCACCCCTGCCCCCTCTAGTAAGCTGTCACCTGCACCATTCCACAATGCGCAGAGTATACTCTGTGTCCGACTAAATTGATTACTGTGGGATGATAAGCACACTTTCCGGTCAGTGAACGCTGCAGGCGGGATGAACTTGTATGAGCGCTCTAGATTAATTGGATGAATTGAATATCGATAACGTCTCGCGGCGATATTGAGTTTTATCGTAATATATTATGAATAGTGTATGAAATTTTAATTTCTAGTAAGTAATAAATTTATCGAGTAATTTGTAAACTAAACTCGTAAACTGTGGTTGCCAACTCGCCTGCTAAGTGTGGCAACTACTGGCGAAACTCCCCTTATGGGGAAGGCTTAAGTTCAGCAGTGGACAGTTAATGGTTGAAATTATGATATGATATATAAATAAATAAATGATCGCTTTCGTGATAAACAGAACTAATTATGAAATGCAATATTCAGAGTACACCCATATTTTAACAGCTAAATAGTTATTGTTGAAGCATTTGTAGGTAAACACTGAGTATACTTTTTCACCCATAATACCCCCATGCGTTGCCATTCCTGAGGACTCAGGTGTTATTCCTCTGTACCCTGTAAATTCACTGCCATATCCCATCCTTCAAACCGAAACAGCCATGCAAATACAACTGCTTCACGGTAGAAACACGAATGAGACAGAGGTGCCCAAACAAACAACTTTTGTACAAAGTCTCCCTTTAGTTTCCGCCTTACTGTACTTATGCAACTGTATCGTTACATTTACTAATTATCTTGTTTATTCCCTATATTATATAATGCAAATAAAGTATATTCATTCATTCATTCATTTAAATTTAGATATTAGCAACTTATATATTTCTCCATACAAATGGAAAATTTCAAAATTGGAATCACGTCCATTCCGTTTTACGTATCAAACATGATTTGTTAATAGCATATTCGGGTGAAGAGTGTACTCCCACGTCGTGCATGCATAAAACATTGTTCGAACTTTGACTTTGCATATGCAGTAGTGTGCATTGAATTATGAAGGCTGGACGTTTTATTTGACCTATTTTTTATAATGTTAATAGTTAATAGTCAAGTTTCACAAAATGGCAAGCCATGTCTAGCTTTGTATTTATTTCAGCTTTTAACTGTTCACTGCTAAACATTAGCTTTCCTTATAAGGGGAGTTTTGCCAGTAGTTCCCACGCTTGGCAGGTGGGTTGGCAACTGCAATTAGGCTTTAAAATAAGTTTTAAGAGGGACGCTGCTGCCTATCCCTCTACCATATGTTCCCTTAGTCGCCTCTTACGACACCCACGGGAAAGGTTGGGGTGGTTCATTCTATGCTGGGACCTACACGGCGAAACTTTATATACATATTGATATTGATAGAAAAAAGCCGATCAAGTGCGAGTCGGACTCGCGCGAAAAAAGGTCCGTACAAAATCATCAAGTATTTTTTTTGTGAAATAACTAAAAATTTGTGCATTTCTGATTTTTTCCTATACTTGTGCTACATGACATAGCTTTTTGTGAAATTTCATGATTATAGGTCAACGGGATAAACCTACAGATATTTAATGTTAAAATATGCGATATAAATGGCTATATCTTTTGATTGCGTCGATTTAGCAACTTGTTTTTTTTTCACTGCTTTAAGAGATCGCAGACCTGAGTATATGATATTAATTTCAACTTGATACTTCTACGCATACTTAAGAAAAATGTACGGATGAACAAACAAACGAACGGAAGGACGGATGGACAACGAAGTTATCCTATAAAAGTTCAGTTTTATCTTTTTGAGATACGGAACCCTAAAAAACATTTAGATTTGCCGTTTAATGCATTTTTAAAGCCTTTATACCGTGAAACCGATCAGGTATTTATTATAATACTATTTTATGGAAAAGTACGAGTGTTTTTCTAATAATATCAATATTCTTCCTTTTTTTTTTTTAACTTTTTTTATTATTTTACATTGAGTAATTTTTTCTATGTAACTTGAAATGGCAAACTGACGGCTACTTGATGGAAAATGGTAACTGATAAGTGTCGCTAATAGACATAAATAGAATTATGCTCATTATAAAATATATTTTATAACTTTTGCTAAATTGTATTAATTGAGATTCGAACCCAAGATGCTTCAACGCAAAGTACCACGCTTAACACTACGCCACGGCAGTCATTTTACGCAGGAGTAACTTGAATGATCTGTTTAGACCTTTCTGAACAACCTTGAACAAAAGCGTACAACGTTTCACTTGAAAATGTACGGATTTCATCTTGATAAATGCACGCGCGCACAATCCCGGTCGACGGCCATTTTTTCCGTCCATCCGACCGTCGGAAATATTACGCGGCGAAATAAAATAAACCGTGGCATTCTATTCTCACCAGTTATTATTTATTACAAGGACGGTTATTCAGTTGTATTTATGAATAAAAAGTGAAGAATATCACTTGAAATATTTGATGCGGCGAATAGGGTGGAGTGGGCATCAGTAACAATGGGTATGACAAGGCCGAAATATGAAATTCAGCGGAAACGGAAGTGGCGAGAGCACCTAATTTAAAGAATTTATTTTTCGTATAGCGATTTTGTTATCTATTTACGTTTTGTCGTAAAATAGTCGTTAATCGTTTTTTATGATTCTTTTTTCGTGCGACTGGCAAAGAACGGTGAGATATTTAGTATGTTTGTGTATATTAAGAACATTAACATACAGTTGTATTATGTGTAAAAATATGCATGCATAGAGAACGCTGTTTGTAAATTTAGTTTAATTTTTTTTATGTTTGTTACCTCATAACTTCGTCAGTTACGAACCGGTTTGGAAATATTTTTTTACCTAAATGTAAAGTACCTTTTAAGGGTACAAATTGATCCCATAGGAATTTGATCAAAATCGGTTTAGTAGTTTAGTTTTTAAATCAAAATAACTGATTTTACCACAATTGAAGTTGGTTTTCTTTATTTTATTTATTTTTAAACACAGTCTTATATTGTTGTATGTATTACAGTGGCGTAACAATAGTATGGCAGGGCTGGCAAAATGCCATGGGCCCCCAAACCAAAAGGGCCCCGGCTAA